TTTTCTTCATTGAGTTTATTGGTACATTTTAGGTATACAGTACAGTTACATTCATTATTGGGATCTTGTACCTTTACATGACAGGTCTTGGTTCTCATTTTTTCCCCTTGTCCCTGCCCTCCCTTCACCCCCCTCCTCCCCTCCCCATTTACAAATATTTTATTTTTTCAGTTCCTAAAGAATTATTTTTTAATTATTTTTCATGACTGGAATAAATCTTAAAATGGGCCAGAGATTTAGTTCAGTGGCATTGCTTCTGCCCCGCAAATGCAAGGTCCCGAGCTGGATCCCTTTAAAATTACAGCTTATATTTGTTCCCAAATCAACAAAATAGTTTGCTTTCTAGAAGAATTAGGGTTTTTCTTTATTGTTATTCAACTTCATGTGGAAATAAACTATTTGCTTAGATTCTAAAATCACTGAATATCATTCATTGAATATTGAATATCATCATAATAATTTTTATGCCATAGTAATTTAGTCAGATGAGGAAAAAAGAGATATATATATGAAAAGGGGGGTGGTATCAGGCATGAATGATAAGGACGGCTAAAGAAGAGACAGAAAACTAATGTTTACATTACAAAGCCAATGTTGAGACACAGAATAATGTTGACTGAGGTAATGCTGATAAGGTACACAGTCAGAATCAAAAATAATTTTTAAAGACTTCTTAGTAATAATTTTCAGTTAAGAATTTTTTACTTACCTCATTGCCACATTGCTGCCATCAATGACTACTGGTCTCAAATTTTCACCATCATCCGTTATAATCTCTTGCATCGGAGATTCAGATCTCTGAGATTCCAGAGAAGATGTTTCCCGCATTACACTGGTAACTGTACTAACTGTCTGATCAGTTTCACTTTTATTTCCAAGTTTGACAAGTTCTCCCAAAATGTCATTGATTAAAGCATCAGTACCAAGTTTGTTTAGCACAAGTTGAACCTGTTCTTCAGAATAACCTAATTTAAGTGCAAACTCCAGCTTTGTTTGGTATTCTCGTACCACATCAGGGGGTTTCTTGACTTCCTTGGATGGAGTCTGGGACTCTTCAGGTTTAATGTCTTGCAAAATTTCATTACGTTTGAGTAGGTGAGGCTCTAAGCAGGGAGACCTACACAATTGTCTGTGAGTCTTGGTTAATAAGCATGGCTCTACTGAAATGCTACTCAATTGTTCTGATTCATGATCAGAATTTGTGCTTTCTTCAGAATCACCAGAGCTCAGATTCTCTTCAGATATCTCTTTTTCCTCCTTTCTGATATGAACTGCATCCATTGCTGGTTTTCCTACCATTGGCCAAGGTACAGCTGCACTTAAATGTGGGTCAGTGCTCTCCACATAAAGGTGGCTGAGGTCATGCCCCAGGTGATCCTTCAAGCCCATGAAGCTGTTACTTGTACTTGACTCCACTTTGTTGTTTTTTCTGTATTCCTGAAGGCAAAATACCCCGTATTCCTAGAGAAAAATGTAAAATATTTAAAATTTTATACTTATGTTTGATTTGTCTCAAGGTATAAATCTGAAGAAAATTACCAAACTACTAAATACCTGCTGTGTATTTTTGCTAAATCTACTCATCAATAGCCAAAACTATACTGTGGATTCCTTTTTCTTTTCTTTTTTTCAAATGAAGAAGTTACAAATTAGAAAGACCATGTAACTAATTCTTTCAGGACAATACAGTTAGTAAATAATGAAACTGTATTTTTTATTTAGTTGTGTCTAACTCAGAAATCCATGCCTGTTCCACTGTGTCATACTGCTGTTCAACCTTGATGGAAGAGATTTTCCTTCTCACATTTCTAATGACACATGGAATATTATAAAAAAGCATGTTTTAAATATGCCATGACAAGTTATGTACATTTTCCCTAACAGAATACATAAAAATCTTTAATAATTATTTTAAAGGGACGGGAAAGGGGATGAAAAAAGGAATTAAGATGTGTTATGTACATGTACCATCTTCCCACAAGGAATACAAACATTATTTACCACACGCATGTACTAATAAACTAAAATAATAAAAAAGACTACAAAAAGATTTTAAAGAAAAAATTACAAAGAAAAAGTGTTAATTCAGATAAGCTCAAACAATCAATTAATTTCAAAACAATTTAGATACTAAAAGAATATATACTCTAAAATGGCTAACATGTAATTAAGTAATTACAAAGTTAATTGTATCCAAGAGATGAATATATTTTTTCCTAATAATTATGATTTTACTAATACTGAACATGGTAACTGAATATTATGCTATCCTTATTAAATAGCAAGGACAGTATAATCTATTTTGTCTGAGGAAAACAATTTTTTTAAACCTATGTATATGTACAGAAAGCAGAGAAATTAAATATTTCACATAAAATTAGCAGTAATAATTAAGCACATTAAATAATATTATTTCAGTTTCTTGAGCTTTATGGCAGTAAATACTTCTGTTGCATCAGGTTAATTAACAGTTAACCTTCATTTCATTAAAATTCATCTTTTCCCCTACTGGGCCATTTTTACTGTTTAAAATGGTTTAGCTGTTTTACTTTTTTTCCTTAAAGTCTATTGGAAATAATTATTTTAAAGTTATTTTTTCATGTGCTTCCTTCCAAGGATGATAAAAACATCAGTGGTTTAGTGATTTAGGAGATTCCAGTGTTCTACTCTGGTATAATAGTAGCAAGCCAGTGTTAGCAGATTTGAGACTGTTATAAAATACCTATTAAATAACTTAATAAATAAAATGGGAAAACACTTTATTCTAAAACCCTTCAACACAATATATGCACTAGAAAAGAGCTATTTTACAAATGTTAAAAGAAAATAAGTGATTTTCTCAAAAGTTACATATTTGAAAGCATACTGATCTACTTATTAGAGTCATACATTTCTACATAATGAAATAAATATTATTAACTTTAGTAAAAACTTTGGTAAGACAACACGGACTCTTTATTAATGCACTTAAAATTCCCTCATTGTAGAACCACACATTTGTATAGGAGTTTCTGCATGGTTTATTCTCTGAGAAGATGAATTAGCTTTAGTATCATTGTTCTAATAAAGCATTTCTTAGTTTTAAAGAAACATCAAACTTTCCTAGTTCCTGATTGTTTCTCTGATAAAAGGAAATAACCCTTAAAGTATACATCTGCTCCATTATGAAGCTGCATTCATTTCAATTTTTTCTATTAATATGGATATCCATGAGTTCAATTATTTAGAATTAAGAAAAAGATTTTGAAAGCAAATCCTTACACCCTCTGATTTATTAACTACTGTAATATACTAACACCATAATGCAAGTAACAACTCACAACAGCATCCTAACAAAAGGATACAGTTAAAAGAAAAATCTACACTGTGGCCTTCACAGAGCTCCCACCAAAAGTATCTTAAACAAGGAAAACCTATTGGAAGCTGGGCTGCTTGGCAACCAGAAGCTGGTTGCTAAGCTGCACTCCTTTAACATGCCATCATGAATGCTAGCACAGTGAAAGAATAATTTGGTATGAACAAAAGCCTATGAAAGACACTGGGACTTAAGTGCGTCTGGTTTACCCTCTGAGAACAATGCAGCTGCCAAACCAATCTGGAAGCTCCGACATCATTGTTCTATAAACCTCACAATCTGCTCTGACTGCAGGAAGTGCAAATTAATGGGAAACATTTCTGATCTCCCCTGAAAAGTTTGGGTTTTGCATAAGTGCTGTTGTGAGATAATTCTCCAAGATAATGGCTTGCTGACCAAATCCCTGAGTTGAACTAGGAAATATTATTTTAATTTTGAGCCATAGTAAGTATTTCTGAGGGGGAGGAGACTGTATCAGACAAGATAAATACTTAAGAAAAATATAGTTAGTAAGAACATTAGAATAAAATACTTTGTTTAAAGGGTAAATGAATTTTCTTAATTTTCCATTTTTCAACGAAATAAGATCAGATACTATAACGTTTTTAAATAGAAAATTAACCACAGAAAAAAGTATTTCAATCTTTCTATTTCAATATCAAGCTAATATTTTAATGATACCAATGGTACTACTTAAATCTGCTCTACTGTATATTTATTATATGGCTATAAAATAAGGAAAAAATTAGATTATCATTTGGTTATTTTATAATATTAAATACTAATATTTTGTATCCAAATATAGCTAGTGAACATTAGATACTTTTAACTTGTAATAATTCATGTAATTTGTACTTAGTATTTAATAAAAATTTTGTAACAAGCTGATATTTTAATGCTAAGGATAAATGTTAGTTGGCCTATTTTTAAAAATTAACATTCAATTTTGTGATGGAACATAATTTTCACTTTAAAATAGTCTGGTTGAACTCTTTCACACTGACAGGCCTATTTTCATTGGTTAGTTTGAAGAAAGTTATCTATCTAATGCCATCTTGTACTAAACAAGCAGTTAAATGGCTTTTTGTACCCAGAAAGTGAAAGACTAAATATTAGTATAAATAATTTAAAAAATGAGTTCACTCTCCAGGCAGGCATGCATCTCATAAATATGTCTCACATATGTATATATCACATAAATTTGAAATAACCTAATTTGTATTGACCCAAATGGCAAAAGGTTAGTTTTTAAAACTGATTTCAAAGCACTTAAAAATAATCTAGAATTTGGCAATATCTCAAAAAAATTCAGTAAAAAATTAAATGCTTGTCTAAAGTTTTTTAAACTGATACAAATATTTTCATAAACTACAGAATTTGTTAATGTAACTGAATGTGTAAAACTTACAATTATTATAAGAAACTTTAGCATAAAGAAGGGCATATGACTTTTGTTTTTATTTAGTCCCCTAAAAATAACCAATATTCAGCACTTCAGAGGCTGAGGAAGGATTGCCATGAGTTCAAGGCCAGCCTGAGCTACATAGTGAGTTCAAGGCCAGCCTGACCTGCATAGCAAGACTCTCAGAAACAAAACAAAACAAAAAACAATATAACTTTGAAAAAGAAAAAAAAAGCCCTCTAATAACATTGCAAAATGTGTTATTAATATGTAGGTTACAAAATTCTTTTAATTTCTAAGTCATGCATGGTTTAGACTTTTAAGTTTTGAATTTACTCAAATGCATACTTAAATAAATCATTTTAATCAAATAAATAGTAACTAATATTCTCATTTCATTTAAAGAGCACAGTCAAGTTTCACACAAAAAGTAGGTCAATTTTTACTCCCATAACTATCATAAAACTGTAAGAAATACAGCCTATTTTTAATTTTTATATCAGGGATCCTTCATAATAGGCTTTACATACTTACTGCATTTTTGAATATAAAATGTACTGGGCAAAAAACCCAGTAATATAAAACAGATTTCAATAATTTTAAATCTCTAGATTCCATCCTCATACTGCATTGTTTCTTGTTAAAAGCTATCCAATAATTAATTACAGTATTTGTTGAAAAGAACTAAATTATGCTAATTTTGTAAATAATAACGAAGTGCAACTAATTCTTTTAAATGCCAAAAAAAATTTGTAATAGTTGAAGGCAAACTTATGTCATAGAGGCAATTTACTAGAAATGTATTGCACATACTGAAATTCCTCCATTTAGTGAAGAAGTTTTCTGCAAGTTCTCAGACAATTCTTCATCTCAAACTAGGTAAAAAAAATTTTAAAAAAATATTTGAATGAGGCTCCTATTAATCAGGAATATTAGACCATAAATTTGTTAAACCAATTTATTTGTTTGTAATGTAAAGCTATAATGCTGTAACAGTGGGTTCTGGTTGTTATCCAAATAGTAATACTATGAGAACAATGAAAATAAAATAATGAATATGTAATAAATACCTATTGCTGTAGTCTCTGTGTGTTTAATTACCATTGTATTTGAGTGAGTGCTGTTGTCTGCCTCCCCCTGGCTAACAAAGGAAGGATGTCCCTTTGAACAGATTGGTTAATGCTCTGGGGCAACAGATGTCTACTGGAACTGCAGGAGACCAGCAACTGGTGGCCTGCCCATCTTCTGAAAACTTTCAATAGACTTATGCATATGTTCACACAATAGGGCAAGTGGTAGAAACAAAAACCTCTTTTTAACCCTTTATGCTTTTTCTTTCTCTCCCAACTGATAGATTAATGTCTTTGTATTTTCTTCCCTCTCCTATTAGAAAGTTCTTGAAAGCAATAGTTCTTGGAATGATATTTTCAATCTAATATCTGAAAAAAATGCAAGAAAAACAATAGGAGAGAAGAAATTAGAAACTATATGAGTACTACATGAAACTACATGAAATTGCTGACAAAGGAACTGGATGCTAAGTCATCATATTTAAAAACAGTTGTTTGAAACATCTACCTTTATCAATCCTCAAACTAGACTTTTTTTCCTTTCTTTTTGAGACAGGGTCTAGCGATGTAGTTCAGCCTGGCCTTTCACTCACTATGTAGCTGGCCTCAAATTCTTAGTGATACTCCTGCCTCAGCCTCCTGAGCCTGTGCCACTGGGCCTAGCACCAAGCTACACTTTTAGTACAATGGAAAAAAATAGATCAAATCATTTTACAGCATTTAAGATATGACAGTGAGATCTTAAGAAACATATGAAGGGCTAGGGATTTAGCTCAGTGGTGCTGCTGCCTGCCTCGCAAGCTCAAGGTCCTGAGTTCGATCCCCAGTACCGGAGAGTGGGGGTGGAGAAGAAACATATGAATTTGACAATACAGAATCTAAATCAAAATATCAGAACTTCGTTTTAAGTTGTTCTTAAGCTCCAAATGATTAAATGCCATGCCTAATGCCTTACAAACATTCATGAAGCTATAAGTAATCATTTGCAAAATTCTAAAATATAAAAAAGGATAAAAATATGCTTCACAGAATTTAAAGAATTGAATTGCTCATATATTGGCACTACTTAATAATTTGTAGGCTTTCAATCTTTCATGGTTCAAATTAATACTCTAGCAAAGTTTAACTTTCATGGCATTAAGCACTGATACTCACGTTAGCAGGAAAATACAAAGACATTGGCTTCTGTAGCAGCCTCAGCAGTAACTCCTTAACACAATTTAGCTGCAGACTTCCAGGCAGGCAAGAAGAACAATGAATGGTCGAACAGATGGAATGGCAATGTCTTTGCTTAACCTATTACAGAGTGGAATAGCTGGCCAATCATAGACTAGGAAGCTCACAATTAGTTGGCCAGGCAGATGCAAGACAACCTCAGCACCCTGCGTCAGGTTCCGAGGTTTCTAAGATAAGCAAGTTGATGTCATTCTCGGGTCTGCCCCGGGCAGCATGTGTATTAACGAGGGTTGTGCAGCAACAATAGGCCATACAAAGCTGACTAGTAGGCAGCTGCTCTATGAGAGTGGAGTCATTAGAGAGCAGGCTGCCAACAAGAAACACCTGGCTTGGGCAGACTTCAGCTTTTCCTCTTGTTTTTAATGCATGAAACAAAGAAACCAATTATATTTTAAAGTAGTAAAAGTTGCACATTTCCAAAAAGTTGAGGTTGTACACTAGTCCATTAGCTTTTCCTTTTCATTCAGAAATAAAGAAAGTGTGGGCATATCTAAGTAGCAATTAACTACTGCAGCAGTTACCCTTCTTCTTTATATAAATGAGTTACCGGTGAAGTGAGACAAAAGATGACAGTAAACCTATTTCTGTAGCAATAGTGGGAAATCTGTATTTTAAAGTATTTGTTAATATTTTACAAGACAATAAAACAAATTAAAACATATTAAAAATCAGATTGCAAAGGTAAAAGATTTATGAGCTTACAGATATAAATAATTTAAAAAAGTATATTCATCACAAGTGTAGTAAAATAAAACAAATGTTCAGTCCAACTTTGTGCCAAAGAATCATCTAAACTGTTTATATAAGCACATATATTTAACTTTAATCCAAAATCATCAGAACAGCCCATCTTTATACCAAATAGCAGTATAAAATTCTTTTATTATGGATATCAGTAGCTAGCCAAATAATGAAATAACAGCAAAATTGTACATCAATTTTTAAAATATAATATTATACCTGTTAAAAGTACTTGTATTTCATAAAATTTGTAAGCTATAATAGTCAAATCTCAGTTCAGAATAAATTAACACTAAAAGATTGTGATGTTTTTTGAAGGGTTAAAATATACAAAAATAAGTCCCTTCAATGAGGAAATTTGTTACCCCTGATATATGTCTATGTTTCAGCATCACTAATATTATGGACTACTTGTTTTTGAGAGCTGTATAAGTTTTATCTTGAGTGGCTTCTAATTGTGAAAAAACTCAATCAGGATGTAAACATCATAAGGCACTGTGATGATATTTCCCTACAACAGAAAAAGCAAATCTTTAGCTGCCCTACTACTTATTTATGTGATTCTGAAAACACACACAACACACGAGTATCCGCTTTTCATTCCAGTGCAAATTAAAATAGTGAAGGCAGAGAGCTATTCTTTCCTGACACAGGCTGACTTATGCAGAGCCCAAACTTTTTCATTATATGATCATGAACTCTCAAGATATAAAACTTAAAAAGCAGTTCAAACAATCTAAATCAATCTCTTTCTCACATGTAAATATAGAAGCCACTCACAATTAGGACCATTTGTGAATACTCGAAAAAAAAAAGTAATACTGTTTTAACACTCCTAGCCATGTTCTTTTTGTGCCCACTTAAATACAAATCACAACATTTCTATTTAAAAAAATAAGAGGGAGATCTATTCTATATGGTTAAAAATTTTCAATTATCTCACCAAACTACTACAAACTAAAAATTAGTGCTGTGTCCAGAAAAAAGTAAAATATAAAATGATATTGTACATCACCATTTGTCTACGGATATTTTTCTTCCAAGAGCTTGAGGTATGCCATTCCAAAAATGTTGGAAAAATAAAAAACATGTGAAAATATTTTTAACTAAATATAATTACTAGGTTTGGAACGTCAAACTTATTTCTAAAGCAAGGAGGACTCTTTCTACAAAGCGTTTCAGTAATGTTAATGAATAGTTAATCCTGTGGTCTGATTTTATAAGCCCATTAAAGATTAACATAAAGCATTTCTGGAATTGTGGTATACTGTAAATTACAATGTGAGTCATACAGAATTCAAATTCTCATTTTTGGGCAAGCATATGAAAATCATAAAAATCAAGTTATAATCTTTGCTTCTTTCTATTTTTTGGTGGTGTTAGTGGTACTTCTTTTTGAAATCTTATGAATAAAACAGGTATCAACCCTGAAAGCAATAAGGTTAGCATTATGGCTACTAAGTTGTAATTCTTCTGGAAACACTGAGTTTGATTACATAAGATAAAACTAGCATACAAAGTAGTTACAGCTAAAATATAATAAAACTAGCTAAGTACTCACTAGAAGACAGTAAGGTCAGTATGAATTCATATTAAAACTGTTTTCACTTGTATATAAAAAAGGAAATTACTTAGTATGAATACAAAGTCTCTTTTTCCATTGGATTTTCTTTCTTGTCTTTATCCCTTGCTACTATAGTTGCTACTTTATAGCTGTAATTCAGGAGGAGGAGGAATCTTCTCACCCTGCCACAGTGAACACAAAGAAGGAGAGAAAACTACCCAAGAGCTCAGCAGGAAGCCTGATCTATAGCACTGGATTAAGCTTTTTTGCAAACAGCAAATAAAGGCAGTGATCTGAAAAAGCTAATCAGACCCTGCTGTGGTATTTAGACCATCTCAGTTGCTAGTACTGGATAATGTTAAGCACATTAAAACATCTGTAGGTGAAAAAACTGCACTAGTCTGGCTTTCTTAGGCACATGGTTCTAGTCTTCCCACTGCAGGGCAAATACAAACATCTGCACTGAGCTGTTTGAGTGAGTGCAATAAATGACTGAACACAGTGCACATTTATGACAAAAGACAGGAAAGGGAGGAGGAAGGAGAGGAAAAGAAGAAAAGGGAAGAGAAGGGAGGAGAGGGGAGGAAAGGGGAAGAGAGGGGAGGAGGGGAGGGGACAGAGGAGAAGGAAGGGGAGGGAAGGGAAATGTGTGGTCTTCAGAGTTTACCAAAATTTGTTGATGCCCAGGGTGGGTCTAACCTTTGAAGCTTGGGTCATGGACTTTTTCTAAGGTGTGAATGTGAAATAAATAAGCTTCAAGGCTACTGTTGGGAATCAGTTCTTTGCCAGGGGTCATTCTAGATTTTCTACTTTTTTAAAAAAACAGTTTAGGCTTATTCTCTTTTAAAGTATCATCTCTTCTGATTCTAACATTACTACCATCAATAAAAGATAATTTTATTAAAATTTCTGAATTGTCTCCCAAAGGTAAAAAGGTTAAAATTTTAACCAAAACTGTTATTTTTGAGAGTTAAAAAACATGAACCAACCAACCAATGAACCAACCAAGAGAAAAGCTAATTCACGAGCATTGTGTAAAATCAACTTGGTGCTATCTCTAATATCTTAGAGTAACAGATTTAGGAAGTCAGACAGCTTATGAGATCTTTTACATGAGTGTTATTTGAAGTGTTAATAACTTTAAACCACAAAACAATCTTAAGAATGTTGCGTCTCTGAACTAAAAACAAATTGTTGCAGAACTACACAGCACTAGCTCAAAGAAAGTCACAAGGTTATAAGAACCTGATAACATCTTGGACATGTCAATTCCAGAAAGCTCTGCAGAGAGAGATTCAGACATGCTTCTAATTCCCTTCTGCCAATGAAAACCGTGCCACTTTTCAGGAAAAAGGCAGGACATGAAAGTTCCAATATGAGACCACATTTGGATGCAGCTCTGAATATAATACACCCAAGTAAAGTATGTACAAGAGAAAAATTAAAATCAAGCACACCTGTAATTCCAGCAATCAGGAGGCTGAGGCAGGAGAATTACTATGAGTTGGAGGCCTACATAGTGAGATCCTGTCTAAAAAAAAAAAAAAAAAATTAACTGTAAGAAAAGGGGCCTCAACTATAGTAAGTAAATCATCAAACAGAAATGATTTTATATTAAATCAAGCTTATAAACTGAAAAAGATTCATATTGGGTAGAAAAATGTAAATTAGTTATAAAGAAGACAACAGGACCGGGGATTTAGTTCAGTGGTTTGGCCAACTGCCTCACAAGTGCAAGGTCCTGAATTCAATCCTGGTACCAAAAAGTCAACAAAAATCTATGAAAATAACACCACTGGAATATGGAGTCCACATGAAAAAAGGTCCAAACACATTTTCGACTAACACTTCCTTGTATGAGATTTTGAAATGCTTTTGCCATTTCTCACTGTTAAAGCTGAATATAGCCACAGCTACGATAATAAACTAGTGGTGTTTTAATAATAAAGAAAATTATTTTCCTATTCATATCAAGAAATAGCAGAAATCATATTTCAGCAGAAGTCACATTTGTACATAAAAATGCTAAGCAGTAGCAACAGTAAATAAAAGTAGAAAGGGAAACAAAATAAGATATAGTGGACACATATCAATTCAATCCTTTGTTAGTAAGAAAAAAGCAACTTCTGAAAAAGTTTGGGAACTTTATTAAAGGCACATAGGATGAAAGGGAGAACTTAATGTTGCAGGGTTTGGAAGGTCAGAGACCAGGACAGAGAACTCAGGGTTTTGGCTGTGCAGTTTCTAGAACATCTCTGTCTTAGAAGTCAGCACCTGTTGGTAGGCCTTGTGCTCTCCATTCAGGGTTCTAAGTCCCGAGTATGAGATGAGAGCCTTAGAATGGCTGCCGCCGTTCTGATAAATAAGTTCCTTCTCCACCTACAGTTTTCACTTCCTACCTCACATGCCTCCTGTCATAATACCGGTGTGTGAACAGGGCTTGTCCCTATAAGGAATGAATGTCCAAGGGTGGCCCGAGTGGCTGCCCGTGCAGCCCACACCATCTCCAACCTGCCCACACCAGCCTCCCACTATATAACCAAGCCCCTTCCCACTTCTCTCTCCTCCTTTGTTCCCTTTACGCCAAACGGCCACCGTGCCGCTGCGGCTCTTTAATAAAGATCTCTCCTAGGAGCTCTGTCGGTGTGCGGAGTGATCCTTGGCAGGTGCCGGTTTCTTTCACTGAGTCCATGAATTGGACCAGCACAATTTAAGTCAGGAATCACCCATTTTCCCCATCATTATGGCTACAGAGTATGTGGGCCATATTTGTCAGCCCCACCAGAGCCATACAAAGATAGGGTTAGGGTTCTTTATGTGGTGTGAGATGAATAGAAGAGGTGGAGAAAAGAACAGGTGGACAGAAACATCAGGCATCCAATTACTAAAGAACATTAAATACAGAGAGATTTTATAGGGGTCCCATGAGATCCACCTAAATGATTTTTAAAAGAAAGAATCTGGGAGTAGTGAAGAAATAAATAAAAATTTTTAAAGTGTGAAAAAATTGAGGGCAATAACACTCATTCAATCAAAATGAAAACCTGTATTTTGATAAATTTTTCTCATTTATGAAAATAAAATATGTAATAAATATTTATCCTCTGAGAACATAGACAGCTTGGCTTCAGTTTCCACATTTGAGCTATATGAGATCTTACTTTCAATTCTTCATAAAGGACCCTATCCTTGCAACAATGCATTCTTGACACTTTAATCACCTTTGCTATTTTGTGTGTGTGTGCGTGTGGTGCCAGGGATCCAACTCGGGATCTTGTGCTTGGGAGGCAGGTGGCAGAACCACTGAGCCAAATACCCGGCCCTGCTGCCAAGATAACAGTGCCTGGCACCTATGGAAGGCCTTTAGATAGACCCTCTGTAGAGTTACTATAACTGCGGATCACAACTATAGCCCTCTTCAGCTGGAAGTAGCCAGAGCTGTCTTCACCCTTTCCCCCTCACAGCAGTTGGGGGTACTTCTTCAGAGGAGGAAATATTGCAGATAGGTAAGTTAATTAGATATCTTGTAGGCAGTTAGACAGGGCCACCCTCAAGGAGGCAACACAGCAAGGAGCCAACAGGGAGGGCAATCAAGACACATTCACTGTGGCCAGAATTGTAAAAGGAGAGAAACTGCTATACCTTTGTGCTTCCCCTGGGGATAAAAAACAGTGACTGATATCTAAATAGGTATCAATCACCTGGGTGGGGGGGCCAAGGTCTTAGCACAGCCTTTCCAGGAAATATCCCTGATCCCCACCCTTACTGAAAATCCCTGTATAGGCTTGCTTACTACGTGACTTTCTCCCTGATTTAACCCCCACTTAATCAATATTACCTGGTGACTGTACTTCTAATCTTATTGGTTGGTCATAATTTTGCCCCACCTCATAATTTTCCATTTGGTCTTACAGTTCTGTCCCACGATGTACCTGCCTCATCACATGGCTTTGCTGTATAAAACATCTGGAGAAGTGGGGTGAGCAGGCAACCCATTTTCCAGTCCCCCTTCTGTCTCTCTTAGACAAGCTTTCTTTCCCTCAATTATTTTTCCTACTCTTAAAAAAATGTGATCTTCAATCCTTGACAAAACCTATAAATACATATAAGGAACAAAGAATTCTAGAAAAGTTCAAGAAATATAAATGGCATCCAAAACGCTGACATAACAAGTTCCTAAAGCAGCTAATGTAACGGAGAAGACAAAGAAACCCATAAAGGATATACTGTATATAAGTTGAAAAGAAGCAGAAGGTACAAGATATCCTTGTAGACAAAACACACTCATATTAAATATAAGTGAAATTGTAAAGATGACCAAAAACTGTAATTATATAAGACATTTTTTTTGAAATGTAAAATAACAGAATGGATGTTAATGACACTACTGATCATAGCAATAACATTTACCAACTCACTGTCAAAGCCTAGGCAGAGTTCATCTCCCTCCTACGCCACTGTGTGTGATATTCCTTACTTTCCTCCTGTATGTGCTCCTTTGGGAACATTGTATATTTAGGCTGCTCCTACCAAATGAGGAAGCATGCATGGCTTGCTCTTATTTAAGTTTTATATAATTCTAGTTGTCAAACTAATTTAAAGTTGCTTGGCCCAAAGCATTTCAAAAGGCTACAAAGAATAATTCCATTGAATTACAGTGGTACCCTGGTTTACAAACTCAATTCTTTTCACAATTCTGGTCACAAACCAAACTGGACAGGAACGGAATCAAATTTCCCCATAAGCTCAACATTGAACCTAACCACTGAATTTGGTCCAGTTCTTGTCCAATTTGGTCTGCAAACAGAATTGTTGAAAGAATCAAGCCCATGAACTGAGGTACCACTATAAAACAGGGCTCTATAATTAGGTCTGTCTCTCCTTTATAGTAGTGTATGAAGAGAGGCAAATATTAAATGCTTAAAAGAGAACTCAAGGAAAAAATGTAGTGTGTAGCAAATAATCCAAAAGGAGCTACAAGGCAGCAATATAAGTAATTTAACTGCAAGTTGATCTAAATATTCTTATTAAAAATCAATACAGAAAATAGTTCCTTCGATATCAATTCTCTAAGATAGGGAAATTAAATGCTTATGATGATAGTTCTAATGGCCTGATACTACTAATTTTAAATAAGTGCATACTAATCATTTTTAGCAACTGTCCAGATGTGCATAAAAATGAAAAACATCAGGATGCTTAAAAATGAATAGTTACATCAGAAAATAGTGAAATCAGCACAAAAGTTTCAACAAATTTTTTGTTTTAAATTTTTATTCTGAGACAGGCTGACACCAAGTCATTAAATTGCCAAGACTGGGCTTGAATTTGTAATCCTCTCCCTCAGTCTCCCAGTGCACTAGGGTTATAGGCATGTCCAGCCTGGAACATAAATTTTCATTAAAGAGTTCTATTATTCCAGAAAGCAATGTCATAATTTAGATATTAAGAATTCTGAGAATTTATGACAAGAGTCTTTCTAAACAGACATTATCATAATCCATAAGAGGTTAACTGTAGAATACAAATCATCCTGAAAAAGCAGCTCAAATGCAAGTCAACTGTCAAACTTTTATTGTTTTCTGGTGCATGTCTGCCATCAGATGTACGTCTGATGTTATGTCTGGCACCTACTATATGTATGTTCTATAATACATATATGTTAAATAAAAGATTTCATTTCAATACCTGAATTAAAATCTCTTCCAAAGCAGTTTAAAGTTTTGAAGGGAATGGAAACAATAAATGCATGTCAGGTGATGGTAAGTGCTATAAAGGGATTCTGAATAAGAGAAAGCTTCTCAGGTGATATATGTGCTAGTACCTAAATGAATGCTGGTGTTCTAATAAAATTCATATACTTGAACCTGACAACATGATAGTAATAAGATGGAAGGCCTTTGAAAAGTGATTAAATCATCAGGGGCCCACCCTTATTGAAGGGGATCAATGCCTCTGAACAGGATGTTTAAGTGAGCTCCTCTGGCTCTCTTATACTATATGTGAACACATAGCAAAAAAGTGCCATCTAAGAGGAATGGGGTCTCAATGCACATTAAACCTGCTGGTACTTTAATCTTGGACTTTCCAGCCTCTAAAATGACAAGCAATATACTTTTATTGTTTATAAGTTACCCAGGCTAAGGTATTTTATTATAGCACTGGAACAAACAGGTAACGAAGGCCCAAGATGAGTGTACATGATGACCTTGGGGAACAGCAGGATGAGCAGTATGTCTGGGCACTGAATAAGGGGAAGAATCAGAAGATAACTCCAGAAAATGTATGGCCAAGAGAAGCCAGTTCATGTAGAATACTGACAGGTAGACAGTGCTTCTCAAAACTAAACTGTATTTGACTCACATAGGATCTTGAAAACTCACATGTAGGAAATGTGGGGTAGAGATGGAGATTCCACATTCTAACAAATTCATAGTTGATGCTATTGGTTCTTGAGACCCACTTTAAGTAGCAAGTCTGTAGTTTACAGCAAGGATTTCATTTTTATTCCAAGATGGGAAATCACAAGAG